TAAGGTGGGGAGATGGATAGCCTGCTAACACTGTATCCATGGGCCAGTGTGTATTTAAACGGTGAGGAAACTGCCCACATTCTGTACAAATCAGGCCAGAGCCATTGGAAGATGTGGTAGAGAAGTAGGGCAGCAATTAGTTTCTGAAAAACTTTTTCAGACTGCCACAAAACATGCTGGCTGACAGATCTGGAGAGTGATATTCCCCTAAAAATAAGGTTTCCAAGCTCTGCAGCTGCACATTGCTAATATTTTTATGATTACAGTGCCTGAATACTTTTCATTTTGTTTTGCCTTGTAATAAAAACCATAGCAGCTGTGTTTAGGATGAAACTGTATGCAGGTTCTCGAGTATTAATAACAGCAACAAAAAAACAACAACAGAAAGGAGGCACATCCATCACATACATATATACTGTACTAGATCTTGCACTATTTCACGATACCGCTGGATTGCCTTAACAAACGACAGATCACAAATCAATGTGTGGTGCCGGTTTAACCACACAGAACAAACAAAGCCATAAGTCAGGAATGCACACAGGAAGGCAAAGTATAAGCAAAGAGGCTTTTCTGACGGTGTCTTCTGTACCTTCCTAGACGTTGCTGTCAAAAGTCCTGATTATGAAGATACAATGGAACAGAAACTGCTTTTCAGCCCTGTAATAATTCATTCTGCTCAATCTGTAACTGGCACAGCCGTTTTGCATGTCTTGCTGTCATTCATATCTTGTGTGGCCAAATAATGGAAGCTGATAAATTTATCCATCCTACCTGTTATTTTTATTAATGATTCTTTTTCCCATTGTGTGAGGTTGTCAGCATTTGCTTTGGGCATGTGAGGTACTTTTATAGCACAAATGAGAACTCTTAGCCGCCTAGAGTGGTCGCAACTGACCAGATAGGTGGGGTATAAATGGAATAAATAAAAATAAATAAGCCCACTAGGAGCTGAATCCCTGCTCAGTCAGTTTCTCCCTCACTAGTATAGGCTGATATCACAATGAATCTACTCTGGTGTTTACAGTTCAAACTTTAAAGGAGTTAGTTGTCCATGGTGCTGAACCTATTTGGGGAACAACGATCAGTGTCTGAGAACAGTGGTCCCCAACCTTTTCTGAACCGTGGACTGGTTGGAGGGGCAGGGCACCCCCCTGTGCTCGTGTGTGGGCGGGACACGCTCGCAGGTGGGTGGGGCGTGTGTCCGTGGGGGGGGCGTGGGTCGGTGAGGGCATGGGGGGGGGAGGGTGGGGGGGGGGGGAGGAGATCTGTCTCCACAGCCTGGTCCTGCGAAGGCCATGGGTGTTGGAGACCCCTGTCTAAAAGATCAGTGGTTCTTAACCTTGAGTAACTTAGGTGTTATTGGACTGAACTTCTGGGAGTTGTACTCCAGGAACACCTGATTGGACTGTAACTCCCAGACACCCTGGCCAACAGAATCAGTGATGAAGGCTTCTGGGAGTTGTACTCCAGGAACACCTGGATTACCCAAATTTGAGAACCACTGCCTTAGATGGCTCCTGTCTTCATAGTAAAAATTCAGAAGTGTCACTGCTTTAAAAAAAAAACATGAGATGCTAGCCTTCATTGGCTCATTCACCACCCAACGTCTCTTGGAAAGCAACAGCCCCTTATTTCTAATCAAAAGAGCAGTGTTTCCCTGCTTAGTACTCCATTGCTGACTACAGAAGGTGCCCCTGCATTTGCAGGTCATCTTCACAGTTTGGGGTGGGTGGGCGGAGTATGAAGGGTATACGAGTGTGCAGTTGTGCATACTGTGAGCCAACAGTGTGGATGATGCATGAAAAAAATTAAGCAGCTGCGCCCACAACTTGGAATTTACCTTGTTTAGACTAAAGCTCTGAGAATCCCCAGTTAGTGTAGTCAATTTTTCAAAGTTCTGATCATGCTTACTTTGCACTTAGGCCATGCTGACTGCTGGTATATCCTGAGGAGCCTTCTTGACTCTGAGCCAGGAAAGACTCTTCATCCCTTCTCACTGCCTTCTTCTTTAATGTTAGGAGTCCCTTCCACACCAGCTGAAGGATTCTCGCTGTTTTTAATCTATTAGAAAGTCAATATTTGTATCTTGGAGGTAACATTCTTCTCACGCCCTCAGCACTTATCTCTTCCAGACTAAGAAGTTAAATATTTTGTACTGCGTGAAGCCATTGCACATGAAAAACACATTGTTGCTTTGTGAGAGGGCGCCAGCGCTGTCAGTATTGACAGCATACTTGGGAATATTACCAGATACACATTTTGTTCCATGAGTGAGTGCTCTTATTTCTGCTTTAATGTCTTTTTTGTTTTGCTCCTCTAAACTGCATGTCTGGATGCTTTTTTGTTGTAAAAGGAGGAAGATGCGACAAGTCTTATTGAAAAAGAGAGGAGACACGCTTCCATCAATGCGAAAGTACTGCGCCTGCAAAAGGACTTGGAGAAGGCCCTACAAGACAAAACAGGTTATCTCACACACCCACTATGTGCTTTGACACATTTGCATGCCAAGGTTTCTTAAAAGTTCTGCCCCCCCCCCACCAGTTGAGAATGCTGAAAACCACCAAGACCCATCCATCGTGGCAACCGTAGCAAAAACCAGGATCCCTGTTACCCACACCCAGGCAGAAAATGCCAATGTTATACTGTAGATTCCCAAATGATTTATTTTCCCGTGGTCCTCCTGGCACCGGAGCTAGAGAAAAGAGGCAGAATTGCTGGCTGGACAATGAAGCCAGTATGTTACCTATTCTTGGGTTTATGCCTTACAGTGCACCAGTCTCTGCATGTCTGCTCAGACATAAGACCCAATGAGATTTATTCCATTTTTGAAAATATAATCATATTCTATCCTCTGTGTATTTGATAACCAGGAAAAGGGAATGAATCAAAGGCCATGTCTCCCCTTTCCCTTTTTAACCTTTTAGAAGTTAAGAAAGGGCAACTTCTAATGCATTTAAGACAGGCTAATTTGTTCCCTTCAAGTAGCTGGTTTCATCAATTCCTTTTGTGTTTGGTTACTTCTGTTGTTATTTTAAATACAAACTATTTTATTTCAATATGATTATACACTGTTTTAGGGGACTACTAAGTTAAAAAGAAGCGCTTAAATTTTAATATATATAAATATCCTGCAATTTCCTAAAGGCAACACAACTGACTATATTTCATCTCCAGAGACATTTCAAACGGCATAAAGAATTAGTAAATATTCTGGTGTGCCAAAAGCCTATATAACTGTATTTATTTTTATGCATCTGCAGCAATAATTTTTGATTTTTTAAAAAGGCTTGGAACGGATGCTTAAAGCTTACACGGAAACGCCACAGTTCTCTGATGCAAAGAATCAGAATGATATTACTACACAGCTTGATGAGGTACAGTTTAATGTTTAATGTTAACTAAACATTAGTTTTTATGCTTCTTTTAAAACATCTTCCTGGACTTAACCTTTTTTTTCCTCCTAAAATCTAGCTTCAGCAAACATCCATATAAACTGAAATGTCTGGGAGTCCAATAATTGCTAATAGATATACTGGACAGGTTTAGAATAAAATAATTTGCCAAGTTTTGTGTCAGTTCTAGTTTATGTTTAAGACCAAGTATAAAAGTAAAAAGACAACATATGTATAAAATGCGGGAACCTGAGTGGACAATTTAAAACCCCATCGAAGCAGGAGTGGGCAAACTGAGGGCTCCCAGCATCCTCCAAGGTTTGGGGTGTGTGTGCTAAAATAGGGAAGTAGGTGGGAGGGAAAGAGGCAAAACTGCTCCCACTCACCCTGGAGGCTTTTAAAGTTAACAAAATGGGAGGCTGAATATGCCCAAAGCTGTGATCTGGACTTGGTTATCATCATAAGACAAGATGTCATCTTAGAACCCAGACTTACCTATAATGAGCCTCATGCTGGCGAATGCCGTCTTAACTGCTCCCACTTGCATCAGGAACAGCTAAATGAACTACAGGACACCTGTCCATGGTTTGCTTGGCATGACATCTGAGGAGGAATTGGCATTCTGGCTTCTCTCTCCTGCAAGGCAGAGAAATAACGGTTTCTCATGGGGTCATTCTTTTGACTCGTTGGGAGAAAGACAAGCCGGAGTGCCAGCCCCTGCCAGGTTCAGATTTCATTTTAAACATGCCACTGATGGAAAGCCCATGGTTGGTTTTATTGGTTAGCATCTAATAGCTCACTCGGCTGGCCTGCGACAAGCCAGGCGTCCGTAGAATCTTTTGTTGTTACAACCAGACGCACAGGCTCAGTTGAGATCAAGGTGCTGTGAAATACCGTTTTTACTGATCATTTTAAAACTGGATTACTCAAGGCAACGCTGAAAGCTACCCTTCTGCAAGCAAACCACTTCAAGTTAGCTAGTGTGCTAGCAGGAATGGAACAGAAGCCTAAACCAGCACAACCTTGGAATAACTGCATTTCAAAATGGAAAGAAAAGGTAAGAGTAAGAGCCATAAGCATCCATTAAAAAAAACATACCAAAAAAAACACACAACGCATCTAAGAATCCATATGGGAGATCAGGTACACCTCTTTGGTTCAATCTCATAGTGTGCTAGAACCAGTGTGTGTCCCTAACCCTTCTACCCATCCACAGGATGTTCTCGTGACAAAGAGGCTTTCCTTAGGGAAGAGTAGGTTTAAAATAGGAAAGGTTTTCTTTAACCTTCACAAGTAATTCTGAGTTGTTCAGTTACCCCAAACCAGGCACTTTTAAGAGGCTAGCTTGGCAGCAGAGCTATCTATGTGCAGACTAAGGAACTCTTTGGGATGACTAACACAGGACTGTACTCTCATCGTGAACCTGCTCATGTTTAGCTGTTTTTCAAATAACATCGTTCTCATTTTAATGTATAAAAATCTGTAAGTTGTGTTTGAGATAAGCACATGGGTGCTTATAAGAGTTATAAAACAGCAAATAAAAGTTAGAAGTCATGACGGGTACTTCATACTATTGTTGTCTGTGTAGATGCCAACCTACGGTAGACTAATATCCTACTGAATGCAGCTTAGTGCGTGGCAAAAATAGGTTTCTGTTTCTGCAGGGTTTCCTTCTACATCAAGCATCATAGCATGTGGAGAAAAAGGCAAATTTCTTGAAAGACATTGTGAAGACATGCATCGGAGATTTGTCTGTGCCATATTTTCCGATTCTCTGCAGCTTGCCAGACAGGGCACACACTGGGCAAACAGGAACACTTTTCCCCCCTAAAAGTCCTTGATCAAAACCAATTCTGAGTTGCTTCCTCTCTAGAATTCGTTATGTGTATCCTATCATTACAGATCTCAGCAGACATTAGGTAAATTCCTATTTCCATTCCATAGACTGCACAGTACCTCTTTTAACACCGTGGACCATCTCTGGCTTGTATAACTAGAAGCCGAAGGTCACTGGGACAGCTACGGAGTTTTGTGAGCACAGAGCTCTTACGCTCAATGTTTTTGAGCAGAACACCAATGTTTGAGTGAAAACATCATTGTGAGGCAGCAGTTATGAATCCACTGAACGGCAATTATTTTTATAAGTTAATTTTAAATATACTGAATGTGTTGTTGTTTATATCACATTTGCTAAACATCAATACATTTCCTTTGCAACCAATAGGTTAAATAATGAAAATATTTTATCCCTCTCTCCCCCCCCAACCTATAGGACTGTGTGCACAATTCTGTGGTGATTACACGCCCTGTTAAAATGAAGCATTTAAAGCAAAATTTGAGCACAAGGAACACCAGTGAAGTAGAAGCTAACTCAAGCAACTTCCCAGGTAACAATGTAATTCATTCATTATTGGACAAATGTTTAGGTTATTGCTTTCTTCTTGCTCGTAATTGCATTAGTGACAAAACGGCTACTGTTCTGGTAATAACAGAATAAAGTTACCCAATGAAAATGGTGAAGTTGGTAATAAATCCCACAGTTTAGTTTGGGTAGACGTTGATACACCAGACCCTACTCTATATTTTACAACTATCCTCTCACACAAATATTTTCCTCTGCTGTAAATTTGGGAGCCCCTTATTCTGTGTGCCCAGCACCATTGCTAGACTGGTCATTCTATGCAAGACTAAGTGAAAACAGCTCCAACTGATCCACTGGGGTGGATGCTTTTGTCCTTTCCATCTTGAAAACCTTTCCACTTCTTCCAGTGGAGTGGAAAAGAACTGAGAGGCACAAGCCATGCCTTTTCCCTTCTTGCACATGGATACCCTCCTCAATTTCTGTCTTCCATATCTCCATTTACGTGTATCAGCAATGGTGGAGTTAGGTCTGTTGGATTTTTAAAGAAACGAGTCTACATGGCACAGATGCCTTTTTCTTATACAAAGGCAAGAATATTACATGCATTGGAAAAAGAGAGAGGAGTAGGATTGCCAAACCAAAACTGGAACAACCAACATACATTCATTGTTTAAATAATTAAAGATAAAGGGTTTCTAATTGGAGCAAAATACACCCGGCTCTTCAGGTCCAAGCTGTTTTCAAATCTGTCCCTCTTAAAAATTTAATTCAAGAGCTACCATTGGGTAAATGGCAAGGAACAATACTGTAATAGAAACGGAGCCACTGTTGCTACTACCTTCTGTAAGCACCCTCTATTGTTCTCTTTGACAGCCCCTGTGAGCAGCTCAAAGGCAGCAACATCTTTGCACCTAGAGGGTGATGAATCGGTACATGGGACCTGCGTGGCCTTGTATGATTACAGCACAGCAAGGGAGGATGAGCTCTGCTTGCATAAAGGTAACATTTCTCTGCCTAAATCTCAACAGGCATGGCCTGAAAGAGAAAAATGGCCACAAACCAACAGAATATAAATCCACTTGGGATCTGATTATTTCCACAATTCAGAATACAGTGGTGCCTCCCTTGATGACGTTAATTCATTCCAGCGAAATCGCTAGAGTAAAAACGTCGTCAAACGAAATAAATAACTCATTGAAACGCATTGAAAACCGTTCAGTGCGTTCCAATGGGCTGAATACCTGCTCGTCCAGCCAAGATCCTCCATACAGTGGCCATTTTCTGGTGCCTGTTAAGCGAAAAATCTGTCCTAAAGCACAGCGGGGGCCCATTTTCTTCAGCTGG